TTTCCTTGCATACCTGGATTCACCATACGTAACCCTGTGCGTTGAAGCTCAAATTCTGAAAAGAAAGGTGTCGAATTCTTTGATTGCTCATGCTGTTTGCTGACATGTCATGGTCAGGTCGCAGACGTAAACGGCATGTCATGATCAGGTTCCAGATGTATCCAGCTTGCAGTTGTCTGTACAGGCGATAGGACTTGTCTTTGGATCGTAGCACTCCCGGCTCGGTTCTGGATAGCCACCACAGGCTTCACCATGAGTGGACCCCCGGACCCGTTCAACAGGGAAGCTCTACGCGCCCTCATAGACAGGTTGGCCGTGAGCGATCGGCAGACCATCCTAGCAATGTGCTCAGCCTCGGAGGCTGTTTGGGAAACGTTCCAAACCCTGTTAATGCAGGTGGTTACGGAAGATACAGACAGGTTCCTTCGAGATGCACGCTACAGATCTTACGGTAGCATGCAGGATCAGCACACCATCACGACCGTCAGGGCGGATGACAGGAGACCATCTCTACATGTTGGTTCACGTTCTACTGTCTCAGCAGGCAGCGGTCTTCTTTCATCAGGAAGTGACACGAGACCTTCGGCTCCTCCTCCGAAGTCTATGCCACCTCCTCGAGACCACCGACGTCACTCCAGATCACGCAGTCACGCAGTCGCAGACGCACATGAGGTAGTAACAGTTTAGTAATAGGTCTTCCACCCACAAGTCGGTGACATTCACGACGATGGTCCCAACATACAGCACGACTTTGTCTAAAGTCTAAAGAATCGTACCGCAGCCAGCCAGGCTGTATGCTTGCTCCAGGTTGTGCGCCATTTCGGAGAATCTTAGTGTCCAGCTTGGCAGCGTATCAGGTTCAAATTTCAGTTTCGACATGGTTGAGCCCTTGCTTTCTAACATACTTTCTCGGGTACTTACTCGACATGCGACGATCAACTTCCATATACAAGGAGTCCCTGACCCTTTGCACGGACCGTGGTACCACAGTTGGCAACCGTTTGACGAGGACGAGGCAACGCATGGTCCCATAACGGATCGTGATAGGCCTCCAGAGATGTTCATTGCTGATGTAGAGACCAGGATCCAGGACTTGTTCAACTCTGATCCAACATCTCCTAGCTTTCAAACGTTTGTCTGCAACTACAGGATCATCGTAGTCGGGAATGTTCTGCACGCCGGACTGACTGCTAACTTCGGATCCGTGAGTCACTCATGCTTGACCGCAGTCATGCAGGAGATCGCAGGCCGAAGAACCATTACGCTCAATCATTTGCTCACCACTTCCGTCTCGTACGGAGTCCGATTTAGAGCCCTACATGATGCTCAGGAACACTACAAAGGTCATTTTCATGCTCGGACACACATAGGCCTGCGAAGAGGACGGACGTTGCATCCCATCGTCTACGGAATTCCCCTGAGGCAGAAGTAGACAAGTAGGGAATTGTTCACCCATAAGACGGCGCCAATGGTGACGTGGCTCGAGGAACAATTGCGTTGCAATCGGTCATCAGCAGGAGACACTCTTCGGGCACTCATGACTTCTCACGCATGTGAGGTGTTTGCGCAGGTTCCAGAGTAGAGGCGAAGACCATCGCCTCCTGATACATATGAACGTTGAGCAAAGGATTCACTTACTTCCGTCACTTTCGCAACAAGATTTCAGCAGGTTAGATCGAGCTGTGCAACAAGAACGACAAGTCCGAGAAGCCGTCCAGATGGAACAAGCATGCGTGATCTTTGCACGCTTCAGAAAGAAATTCTTCCCGGTCCCTCCAGACTCAGACGAAGATGACAGCCCAGGAGAATTTCGAGACTCAGTGGAGGAAAGTCTTCAGAGATTGACGCCCATACTTCACGTTCTCAGGACGCGTCGAGTTCAACATTTGTTGAGATCCGCCTTCGCACGCTTAAGAGGACAAGCGGCCCATAAACGTTTTCGGACTAGGTTGTGGAAGTCGGATTGCATAGTCGATCTTGAAGATGACGCCCCATAAAATGATCCAGGACCTGAGGCGCCGGTCTTGAAAAGTTGCGCTTGCTTAGAGATCTGTGATTCGCATGAGACATACAGGTACATTGTTTTCTTCAAAACCTCACCATGACACGCAGCCGTCTCCAACCATTTCCGTTTGATCCTGCTGTTAGTTCCCATTCACTTCGATGTGTGAGCCTACGCTGGAACAGGTTTTACGAGAAGCCCTACGACAGTATGAGAAACTGGTCAGACCATTCATTGCCGCCAAGCAACCCAGATCTCAGCACAATCGTCACGTTGCGGCACAAGTGACCAAAATCGTCACGGAGAAGAGGAAAGAATGGTCCTCTATTACCACACTCAACGACCTCACTCTGGCAGTCTGTTCGGTTCTCGTTAACAATGAGGAAGGTCGGTTCAAGAGCAACTTCCTGGAGTACGCGGTGGAAGGTTATGATCGCGAGCCTTCTCCAGCTTCATCAGATTCAACGGAGGACTCTGAACTATAGGAGCCGGGCTCAGGCTAGTGCGTCTCACGACTGCACCACCTTAGTTGCAGGAGGAAACACCATACGAGTTGAATTTGCCTTTGTGTGCCCTTGCAGTTTGTGTGACAGCTTTTCATGAGGTGAGAATGTTTGCTCGCCAGCCTACCCAAAGTTTTGTTTTAGTTTAGGCAGGATTTAGGTTACGCAAGCCAATGAACAGTGCTTCTTCCTTTCGATGGCTATACGTCCTTTCCAGCTGACGTTCTTTCAGAAGGATAACGAGACTTTCCAGTCGTCAGGTCCAGACATTCATTTCCAGGAGATTGACGACCTGTTCACCGAAGCGGAACGGCTTCATCAACAGAGACCTAATCCACTTCTGCCGCGCACGTTGGATCAGCTCAGTTCAGGTTTTGGATTTGTACAGGTGACGGGAAGGACCATCGTGCCTTCGAGGTTAGTGTGCTGGGCGGCTGTCAGTAAACAGTGGTTGCGTTTGATGTGCTATTCTACGAATAACATGACCATGGTGGATCTCCGCAGACTTTCCAGCGAAGAACATCAGGCGCGGCTGACGGAGGACACCAACGACAAGTTCACCATGGCTCTCCCTTGTAGCATGTTCAGATCAATCCAGTTCAAGGTGATACAGTTCAGGTGGCAGAAATGACTGTCACTATCGACCGCTCTCACAGGCTGTTAGTGAAATATGCAGCGATACACAGGAAAACCGGATGCCTCAGGAACCCATCATGTTGCTTTGTTTCTTTCAGTTCTGATTTGCTAGCAGAATAAACATTTCATTACTTTGACACATGCTGTCCAACTTGACATGTTACTCCGCTCGCGCAGTCAGAATACTCAAAGACCAGGCCTTTACCAGAAATTGTTAATCGTGCCCTTCGGCCATGAAGAGGAATGCACCAACCACATCAAGATCAGACCAGCTTGAGTTTATGCGGAAGCAGCCGATCATTCGGACTCCATACGGTTTGTCGTGATCAACATTCCACGCATAAACATGATGAACATCCAGGTGCCCTCCCATTACGCGGTTGATGGGATCAAAGATTGTATCGTCCGAGAGCTCCGACACCGTGAAGAAGTAACTTTGAGACGGAGTGATTTCTGTCTCACACAGTTCAATGAACGCGTCAGTTATGAGGCACCAGCTTCAGCAATCAGTTCACAGGTGTTCCTATCCTTCAAGTGGACGGCCAAGGAAACGGATCGACCAGCGTGGGCATATGGACTTTGAAAATGATCGCATTCAGGCTTGATCGGATTGCCACATATTTTCATGCATTCAGGACATGTAAACTTTGACTTGCCCCTGTCAGGTTTTCCCCTCTCCGGAGGGGTGTGTGTGCGCACACCCTGATTCTAAGCTAAGGGCTACTGGAGGACCATGCTTTCCATATGTTTTTCCGCAGGGGGCACAGGCCTGTCTTGGATACCTGTGNNAGACAGGGGAAGGGTGGTCTGATCAGCCACCTGTACCTGCTTGTACAGTTTGAAGCCGATTTCAGGAATCATGATATGTTGACGCTTTGCAGTCATGTCATACAGGTCAGAAGCGGAGTGCAGTTCATGCTTGGCAGTCATGTTACACAGGACAGCAAAGGAGTGCAGTGGACGCTTGATAAACATGTCATACAGTGCAGTTGATGCATGGTAGTCATGATACACAGGATGAAGTGATGCACAGCTGATGCTTTCATGTTGTTCCAGGTTTTTGTTTAGGACGTTCTTCTATATCAACGTGCAGGTCCCCCCCAATGAGAATCACGGACAAGAACAGATCGTACAATTCATTATCCGTGTGTGTCAAGAAGGAAACTGGGGGCCGGGACGGGCCCCATGATGCTCATGATGCCTGTCTTTTGGGAGGCCGCTGGAATTAAAAAAAACGCTATAATAAACCCCAACCAAGCGCTCAAAACATGCCTTGTGGCTGTAAATACCAGTGTTGGTAGCACCTGCACTGCATGACAAGCGTGCGAAAGGCTTTGCGTGCATTACCCAGGCCAAATCGTCTAAGCTATGCATGTTGCATGGGTTTTGGTGGTGGTTTGTCCATTTTTTCCGACCCTTTTGCGACACCTATGCTAGGATTTTGCACCGTTCTCTTATTCTCAAATGCGTTAAAATGTTGCTTCTGATGTCTTTGACTCCTCATCGTTCCAAATAAGTCAAGATGAGGTCCCAATAGTGCTGATGATGCTGGCGTACGCGCGCCTCCGGAGAGGAGCGTCATCAGCACAGTTGTGGCCACATCTCATCTTGGGCCATGTTCAATTACACAAAAAAATACAAAACCCTACAAAACCTGAAAAACTGTCCCAAGTAGTAAGAACATAATTTTTGCATGCACTTCTCCCGATCAGGAGCATCAGCAAAGCTGAGGTGGGCTGATGGCTGGGTGGGCGAGGCAGGGGGCAACGGTAAGGCCGGCACTTGCCGCCAGGGAGTAAGAGTACTCGTAACTACAATGTGGCTGTGGCTTTATTGTCCTTTCTCTTTCGCCAAGCTTCTGGGAGATTCCTGTGGACAGCGAACCGCACCCAGGAAGGGATTCCCTGAAAGGTCGAGCACGCTGAGAGGGACCACCTCACAAACAGGTTTGCGGGGGAATTATATAGGGATACATGGGGGCAATGGAAAAGATGGAAGCTACTTTTTAGAGGGGCTCCCTTGGGGCATGACGCTTGCTGGGGGTTAGTAGGGGATTTGGCTATTTTTGTTGCTTCCTGTTTAGGAGATTGCTTGAAAACTCCCTTTCTCTCAGGCTCTTCACGGGCATCCCAATATAATCTCAATATTACCCTAGATTCTCCCAAAATAGCCCCAAGATTACACCTTATCATCAATATTACCCTGTATTATCCCAATATTCACCCGGTAAACCGTGGCCTGATTTCTTGGACCACCCGAGCTAACCCACACAAAATGAGCGTTCAAAGAAATCCTGAAGCAGGTGGGCCTGCTGCTTTTGCTGCGCTTGTGCTCGGACATGTAGAAGTCGAGCCAGCAGCCGAATGTCCTTGGATACCACAGCCATTCCTAAACGACTCAGGTTTGGAAATGATTTTAGGCCACCCAAAACTTGTTGGAAGTTTGTGATGTCTTTGTCCTGTCATCCTGTTGCTTTGGTGACTTTGGTGACTCGCGTGACGTTTAACTGTTTAACTGCTTATCGCGCGTCTCGAAGGCGATTCTGCGCCAAGGAGAGGTGCGACAGCTTCGGGAGGCCCGTGCCTTGGCTCAGGTTCCTGAACCCTCAGAGCGTCCAGGCCACATAGACTCCTACAGAGATCTCGTGGAAACTGACAAGACAACATATCTGAGCCCTTTCAGGTCCAAGCGTCCAAGGTATGGCAGGAGTTGTGCCAACCCGCCTTACGGGCCACTTAGGCTCAACACGTCAGACACTCCAATAGTTTGCAAAATCATAAAAGAAACCTGGTCGCAGAGGGATCTAAAGTCTGTTTGGCCAAGCCACGGTCTTGCAAGCTGCAACCTGCTAGGTGCCTCGGCACAAGCTTGGAACATTTACAAGCTCTTATTCGTACCACTAACGACATCTAATGACCTACCAGTAGTGATTGGTCCACAGCACTCAAAGCCACGGCAAGGAAACAAAGTTGCTCTGGTGCTTGCACCCTCACCAGACCAGGCGGCAGTCTCTGCAGTGCCGGCGCAGCCGCTAGGCAGCGGCACAGTGGCACGGTGACGTTGTGATGGGCTGAGCGGCCCAGCGGAAGGCCTGTGAGCTCCAGCACCTCAAAAAATGTTCCTCACATTTTAACATGGCGCGAAGTGCCCGTTGAGTGGCATCAACATCATGGACCTTACCATGCTTGCAGGCAAGGAGCTGCAAGACTGCGGCCTCGCAAGGAGCAAAAGGCAGCAAGCGCCCGCATCAGGCGCCACAGCTGGACCTGGTCAAACTCAAGCTGAAACATTTTCAACCTTTTCCGAATCGGCTACATGTCCATGCCTCATACAGGTACCTTTTGCTTCAAGATGATTCTCCAGGCACATGAGACTTCATCAGAGTGGCCGTAAAACAAAGCAGAGGTACGTTGCCCTTCAGGCACCATATTTGCTTTCTACCCAGGCCCATGCCACACTCGTGAAGTCTCCCCGCAGCCAAAAATCAAAAACCTGAACACATCATGAACGAGGTAAACACTGGCCCAGAAACCCCCAGACATGTTCAGCCCTGCAAAGTGCGAGCGGTATGCAAGCTCTTCGTAGGAACCTAGCCCTCCAAAAACAAATTCAGAGCCTTTGCTGGCCTGATCTTTGAGTATCCCTTCCGGCATTCTCTGAGCAGCCGCTTGAAGCTTGACCTGTACAAGTTCAATCTTAGAGTTTGCACTGGTGGGGCTTGCCGATGTACATGGCCTGGAGGGACATCGGTGGGGGGGTCCCATGCATACATTCTGAAAGCATGAGGGCAAGTCTCCCTTGCTGGGCAGCACTTCAAGGAGAAGGCCACTTGCTCGCCCAAGCTGAGCTGCTCAGATTGAAGAACTGTTGTGACTACTCTTAACTGAAGTTTGCCAAGCACTTGGAAGTCTAGTTGTGTTGAAGTCAAGGCCCTCGGTGATGCCAAAATTGAGCACGGATGTTGGGGTGGCACAATCTTTCCCAGATCAACAATCGGCCGAGCTGCTCGGTAGTGGTCATCCTGTCCGAAGAACCAGAAGCCATCATAGATCACCACCTGCGGGCACCGAGGCTGCTCAGAGCTCAGACCATCCCAAGCCGTCCAAGCCGCCCACCTGGTAGATGCCCAACGGGGCCTCCCGGAGGAAGATGAGAAATGGCTCCAGATCCCGGCAGAGCTGCACATCCAGTACCAGAGCCTGCAGTACTCACACCCTTGCTTTGTGTAGCTGAGGTCCCCTGAAAGCACCAGAACCGATGTACTCCAACTCCTGAACCATCAATACCATCCCACCAGGCAAATACTTGAATGACTCTTGATGTGAGTGCAAACTAATTGCGCGAGCCGAGGTTGCATGTGTGTTGGATTATCCTAAACAGAAACCCGACTTCCAGGCATTCTGCGGGTGGTGTAAATGAACAATTGATAAGGGATCAAAGAAGGTGAGGATCAGAAAAAAAATGATTACAAAATTGAGGATAGTTGAACATCCTGCCTATGTTCGAGGGTACTGCAAATCGCATCATGTCGGTCGCGCGCAGGCTGCGGATACTATAAGTTGTATTTTCTAGAGCTTGCCCATGGCCCATGGCAAAACTGGCACTGAGCACTTGCTCAAAGGTCATCGTGGACTCAGCTGCTCAGCTGCATCCTATGCATTTCTTGGCTTGCTGAACCCGTTTGGAATTGGTGTAGGAGCTGCCTGCAAATGTGATTCTTGCTAATATGATTGCTAAAAATGACAGGGGGGTTGGGCAGGCACAGCTCCTCCCCCGTTTGCAACACACAGAGGGACATGTGAACGTGTATTAGAAGACCACCTCCACTGCAAAAAACCGTTGCCACGCGAGAAGTCAAATGGTGATAGTAATAAGTATTCATAGCAAAAAATGTTATTGATAATAAGTATAGACATTTTAATAGTACTGCGAATGAGGGCATTACTGAATGTAATCAACGAAGCTAGGAAGCCAGGAGCCCAGGAAGCCACCCAAGAAGCCAGGGAGACAAGAACCCAGGAGGCCAGGAGGCCGGAAAGCCAAGAAGCCAAGAAGCAAGGAGGCCAAGAAGCCAGAAAGCCCAGAAGACGGCAAGCTAAGGAGCCAGGATTCTTTCTTGTGTCTTTCTTTCTTTCTTTGTCGGTTTCTTGCTGTCATTAATGTATTTCTTTCTTGATGTCCCTTCTTTGTCTGTCTCCTTGCTGTTTCTTGCGCTGTTTCTTCTTGGTGCTTCTGTCATTCTTTGCGTCTTTCTTTACTTGCCTTCTTTCTTTGTTTTTTTTTGTTTCTTTCATTCTTTGATTCCTTCCTTTTTCTTTCTTTCTGCAGCACCTCCAGCAAGCGCCGAGAGGTCCTGAGAGGTCTGGAATGCATTTGGCAACTAGGGTAATATTCGGGTAACATGGGGTAGTATTGGGGTAATATTGGGGTAGTATTGGGATAATATGGGGATAATGGAAGACTACTATTGTAGGTATTTTCTTGATGATCCCTTATCACTTGTTCTTGATCCCCTTATCACCATTTTTGTTGATGCCTCTCCCCTTTCTCTGGGGGGGGTCTCCAGACGGCACTGCTCGTGCTGCACATCAGAAAACTGACCCAGGCTACAATCTCTCTCTACACCAGCTTCTTCCATATGAGACGTGGAAACCTCCCGAGGCCGAGCAAGCATCTTCAAATCCTGAAGAATGTTAAAGGTGCAAATATCATCGCTTTTGCCAGTTGACTCCAAAGGGCTGACGGAAGGCTCCATGCGGGGTAAACTAGGACAGCTTAGTCGCCTCTGGGGTTGGGCGGGAGGCTCTGCCATGTGATGCCACTGATTTCTGATTCAGGGCTGCATTAACTCCCTCACCAGGTACTCAATAAACACTTGACTGTAGTAACTCTGGCTCAGCCAAGGCACGCCATTGTCACGCAAATCTGCGAGCACATCCTTGAGGACAAGGGGACATACTGACACAGTGGAAGCTGTCCTCTGTTTCTCCAAATGCGCCGAAGCTCGCAGGTGGGCTGCCTCCCTAACCGAAAACACGCATGCTTGAAGGCATCAGCTCCCCTCTGGGATGCTATGGACCTCAGCTTTCAACATGGGCCAGGTCATATGCGGTAGGTCATAAGCATGGTGACTTCATGTACTGCCTAACCCTTGCCAACAAGCCGCACGCGAGGTGAGGCACACTTTCTGCCTGACATCTGTGCTTTACACACTTAAAGGATCATGCTCTCGTTGCGCCCACGCTCCAAAACTGTTGCCTCTGCGGCTCCGTGGCATGTCGTTTACGCACGCCGTAGAGCCTGCATCACCTTGGCTGAAATGAAACCTGTCTTTCATATTGCGGTGGTATTCCCATCGAATTTGGATCACCCTGTATTGACCCCAGATTCCGAACAGCTCCCGAAAGCTGTCTTCCCTCAGAGGACAAGAGGGTTCATGCAAATCTTTTGAGGCAGAGCGGCTCGACTCCAGTAAAAGGACTTGCTAATCCCTGCATACGCCAAACAATCTTGAGCCAAAGTGCAATGCGGCAGCTTTAAGCCTAGTCCTCGACCCAGAATTGGAGCGCTTGCGAGTTGCGTCCCAGCTGCTGAGTGATCATGTGGTTCCTACCGCCCTTGCTAGACAAAATCGACTGGATCGAGCCAGAACTGTACCTTCAAGCCCTTGCATGGCTACTTGAAAGGACACAGGCTTGGCTGAGGCACAAGCTCTTTGTCAGTTCGATGGTGCGCTCGCAGCCCTGGATTCGAGGGCTAACAAGCTCCGGGAGTTGACAACGGCGCTGAACAGCCTAGTGAGGATGCTGGCATAGACAGCACATGGGTGCCTCTTCTCTCCCTGGCGGTAAAGCAAGCCCTAGGCTGGCGACCTGCAAAGCTTTGAGAAATGCTACTGAGCTGCTGGGGCATCTGAAGACTTTGCTCCATGATCAAGGAGCCAAGGCAAGAAGGCTTCATGATCATTACAGATCAAGTGCATGCAACGGCTCTGCGCCTTGGGGAACACTACTTCCACGTGTTGCTGCACCACGTGGCCTCCAAGCCATGACCTGAGCGCGCTGTAACGATCCCAGACTTACTGGAAACCTCTTCGGCCATGCAACTTCTGAAGCTATTACACACTGCTCACACGCTGACGGTCAACAGTCAATGTTAGGCATGGTTTGCACCTTCAACGTGACAAGCGACCCTCATTTCATCCACCGGCGAAAGGTCACGCGCTCCAGACCTGCTCAGGAAACATTTTTTTTCTCGACTCTGGACTTCAAATTTCAAATCGAACAAATGCTCCAAGCTGCTCAGAAAAACTGGCGCTTTGCTTTCAACTTGCTCCGCCTATCGGACAACCCCAAGCAGCCCGCCTGCAGTTGCCTCCTGGGAATGCTCGGAAGTCTTTTAATTCAAAAATGGCAAAAATTGGCAATGTGCCGTCAAGGACTTCCTTGCTCAAGGCTGCTCAGTCGGCACTGTCCTTCAAACCGCTGACGTGCAGCTTCGGCCAGGCTGGGTGCCTGCACAGAGATTCTACTGAGCTCTAGTCTAGACTCCTAGTATGCACCTGAATAACCCTAATGGTAGTCCCCTGTATGATCCCTAATATATCCCCCTTCGAGGGGTTTAGACTGTAGCCCAATGTTCCCAAGCCGGTTTTCGTTTGGACGCCAGTGCACATGGTCAGAATGCGTTCATGAGGTCACAGCCGCCCACTGGCCGTCATGGGTACCTCGCAGAATTGCCTCTTTTTTCCTCCAAAGCGAACAGCAGGAGGGAACCTCCAAAGAGCTGTCTAGCCCCTGTAAGCCACAAAGCTGTAAAGAAACAGATCTCGTCAAAGTGTGTCAAATACTTGGAAATCAGAGAGTGTACGCTAAGTCTGTAGAATCATTCAAGAAATCAGGTAACGGGGGAAATGCAGGGACTGGCAAAGTGACAGCCACACGGCTGGCAATAGTGGGCCGGTGGAAAACTGAATGCAGGTGGCGGTGCAAACCCCACCGGAATCTGGAGAAAAGCACTACTGCGATTGCACAATTAAAGGTTCTAGAGCATAGGGGTTATATTGGGATAACGGCAAATAAAATGGAAACTATTACTTAGGGCTTAGGGCCCTCTGCCTCCACCTTGGGGTTATGTAGGGATTATATAGGGATAATGGAAAAGAAAATGGAAACTACTACATCATAATGGGGTATATATAGGGGATACAGGGACAAAATCTCAACATCACTCGTCGTGAAGGGCCGCAACTTCTCCAGACCGATCCAGATGCAGCCCCTGTATCCAGCGGGTCTCTGCCAGCTACCAAGAAAACCGGTGGGCTGCATGAAGCCCGTCTGTACAATGGTCGCAGAGTTGGCCAGCTGCTTCAAGCAGCTCAAGCACCACCAGTCTGCAACCTCCAGAACCAAGTGAGACACAGCCTTCCACATGGTCAGCTGCTCTGATTGTAAAGGAGTAAGTCGGATTGGTGCTGTAAGGATTAAGCCAACTCCAGCAGCTCTTGCAAGCGCGACGCATACAGCTTCAGGTTTCTCTTGTCCTTTGCGGGCCGCTTTGCATAGCAGGTATGTAAAATGCCGAGGCGGTCATCCCTCTCCAGGCACAGCCTCCGGAGTTGCCTCTAGCAGTGTATGGCAAAGCATGGGGACAAACGATTGGGTAATTTGGTGAAGTAAGCGCTGCTTTACCCTGGTGGCCTCATCTCCTCCTTTTCTAGGTAGCCCTCTTGCTCGACGGCATCAAGGTTCTCCAGGACTTCTGCCCAGCTGCTGACATCACTGCCTCGCAGGAGCACGCCCGCAAAAAAGCTTACACTAAGTGCCCAGACATCTTTGCATGTGTACGCAACCCGCGAGCCTCTGGCAGCTAAGACCGAGTTCATGGTGCTTGCATTTGCGTCAGTGTCGCTCTTCATGAAAAGCTCCACCGATCTTGCCACAAGGAAGGGAATGAAAATGATGCCTGATGTTGTTGCCACCACAGAGGCAATTTTTGCCTGTGGGTTCAAGGGGTACCATGGTGGATCGCGGCCCGCGAAGATGTTAACCATGTAGATCAGCGCCTGTGCGTAGCGGACTAGACAAAATCAGCGACATGTTGTCGCAGGCTTGAAAAAAAGATCTAACAAGAATGACGGGAATTGTGCATCTGAAGAGCATCCTCGAACGTACGCTCCTGAGAAACGGAACGCAGCGCCACCTTCACTTCAACTCCTTGCAGCGGCGGTGTTAGTTTAGCCAAGCTTCGGCCGCCTCCATATTTGTGTCTGGGTTTTCGAAAGCATACAGGACAGTTGCCGAAACAACCACAGTGCCCAGCAAGGACAGCAAGACTGCAATGATCTGCTGACTCACGGGAACTGTCCTGCAAAGCGCGATTGAGCGCAAGTGCACATGGCCAGAGGTTTTATGACAAAGTTTCCTGATCACGAGGCCGCCAGGACCTGCATCCCTGTCTGAAGGAAGCGCCACACGCAGCAAGCCTGAAGCAATGCCACTTGAACCAAGCCTGAAAGCAAAGAAAAAAAGGCCTCATAGAAGCAAGCCTGACACAGATATAAAAAAAGCCAGGAAGCGGAGGAACCTGCCGATTTGCAGCAAATCGGTGGTCCTCTCCAGCGCGGGCCCGCCTGCATTACTGTCTCCGAGACTGCTCAAAAAATGCTGAGCGCATCAACAAATAAGTTTTTGCAAGGCACCTATCAGCCTCGCCGGAATGCAAAGCACTGGCAAGCTGCTTGCCATATCTAGCGCACCCTTCCCAGTGAAGAGCCAGGAGATTTTGAACTCGTTGATCCTGGGCCAGCTTGCCTACAACCCTGCGGAACCATAGCGGCGCAGCTTCTTGAAAACTTCGATTGAGCCAGGTGGCCAAAAGAGGAGCAGGAACTTGACAAAAAAGGATACATTGACAAAGTCTTCAACCTCCTGCAAGAAGAAATCACCTTGGCGATAAAGTCTCTGGTCAAGGCATAGCAAGGCTATCAGACAGATTGTCGAACTGAACTGCAGCAACCAGGCCTGCAATGCCAGGCGAGACCACTCGTGTCACGAAGCACAATGTGCCCAAAGCAACGAAAAAGCTCTCCTTAGCCGTCACTGCCCCAGAGCAACTCGGAAAAGCATGAGAAAGGTGACTCCTCTGATGGCAACCAGAACAAAAACTCGTGCCAGCACATGCCTGGCAGCTGTCACTCGGTACGGCAGCGGCCCTGTTTCCTCTGAGAAAATCAAATAGCCTTTGAAGGCTTCCAGCTTTTGCTCTAATACCAGGCCCACGGACGTAACCGCTGACGACCGCATTGCCTGGCATGCTCACTTCTGGCCTTCCAGCAAACAAGTATGAAGCGTGAGTGCCTGTCTGTTCTTCTGCTGGTTTCTCTGACCAGCGAGATATTCTTCGCGTGAAAGGAACCCGTCACCATTCCTTTCACGGGAAATCATAAGGTGAGGAATAGGAGTCCTACATGTCCTACAACAAGTTGGAACCGTAGCCGGGAGTCGTGTCCAGCTCGTCGAACCTTAGTGTTCAGAACCTAGCCCAGCTCCCGCAGCCGAAATCAGACATGCGATGCCAGTATTTTGCACTCACGTTTCTCGTAGACAAAGGTGTTGACATGCTCAATGAGCTTGACGCAAAAACGGAAAACCTTCGATAAAACACGTTTCGTCCTGTACAAGGTTCTCACCAAGCCGAATGTTATGGAGCCCTTTATTACCCAGTTGACATCAAATGGCCAAATAGACTGCCACGTGGGATGGCTGCCGGGAATACTGTAGCTAGCTGTGTTTTTTTCAGAACTGGGCTGGACATACTGCATGTGATGTGATGTCGGCGCCAAAAGCCCGGGCCATGAAGCAAGGCAAGGCGCGTGTCAAGTGGAGAGCTGGCGCAGAACGCTCTGACCGAACGGCGTGGGTGCTGCGGCTGACTTAGGCGCTTGCAGCGACTATGCCACACCTGAGTCTCAGCAAGGACTGCAGATATGCCCGGCTAGGCGAAATCAAAAAGCAGCGTGATCTGGTTTACTCCAGGGATGAAGAATCGGGCGCCGCACACATCCAATCTTTGCCTTCCTTCTCCGCAGCACCTTCCGGTCCCCACGAAACGTCTGAGAAGCAACTTGTAGGCGGCGCCAGCAGGAATGGCACACAGCGTTAAAGTCATTGAACAAGACAGCGTGAGGACCAGTCTCAGATTTTTGCTTGTGAGCAGGCAAGCAAGTACCAAGCAAAAGCAAGACTGAGCCGAACCGAAGAAACAAGTTGCAGAAACAGAAACGCACGAGTAAAACGCATGAACGCACGAAAAGTGGTTTCCATGAACAAGACCTGAGATGGAGGCTACAGGAAAGCAGCGACTCAAATACCCAGATCGTACAAGCAAAGGCTCCAAATGGCTGAAAGTGGCGTTGGATCACTGGTGGAAGAATGGAGCTGAGCACACACAACAGGCTCTTTGAAATCCATGTGCAAGCTTCAAGCTGCAGACATGTGCCACACATCCGCAGGAAACATGGAACTGGCTGCGCACTTACCACAGGTCCGTTCCAAAAGCACTGCCTGGGTTACCAGCTGCAGCCTGTAGAGGTCACGCCCCATAAGGTCCCCCCCAGCCGAAACCAAACAGCCCCTTCAAAGACCGTGTTTCCCAAACCTACCTTGTATTTGTTCTGTTCATGAACTGCATCGTGTGGGTCGTCCATACACAGAAACTACACACATTTGCTGCAATGACTGAGCCCGTCTTTCAGATCTTTCAGCAAAATCGGCGGCCAGACACTGATACTCTCAGCAGACAAACGGCGCTCAAGCCCCGCTTCGCTGGCAGCTTTCGACGGACACCGCTCGTAACAGCACCCCCGCATCAATAAAAGCTGACACACATTGAGACCCACTGTAAACAATGCCTTCTCATCAATCTGCAGAAGCTGACAGATATCGAGAATCACAACAACCAAAGCCACCTAGGACATGAACACGAGCGGACAAAGGAGTGGGCGGCCGAAGAGACAAACAGGCCATGGAGCAGCATATGAGCCACTGGCTGCATTTCTAGTACTGCAACAAGACCAAACCCGATGTACAAAGGCAAACCCTGGAAGGCAGTCCCCGACCATAGGACATGGCAATTCCAAAATGTGCACTTGACAATTCTTACATCCTGTAATACTTTAATATGAACTCCAAAAGACACGAGACTGTGGTGCCGTGGGGTTTAGGGTTTGGCTGCACCTTGATCTATTTCTGCGTCCTGCCCTCTGATGCGTTGTGGTTGCTGGCTGGTTCTGAAATCAGAAGAGATCAGAGCAAAGCCCCCGCATCGCAGGGACTGTCGGTGTTGAAAGTTTCTGTCACATGTCCTGTCCCCCTGTATTTGGTTGAGTTGGTGGAAGAGGACTCAAAGATCCTCAAAGTAGTATTATCTGGTGACATAACGGATCCCCATCGTGGCAGTGTGTGTGGTGAACACGTGCAAGTAACGGACGGTGATGCATGGAGTAGTTGCCTTATTGATACTTGTCCAAAATGCACGGGAGATATGCGGTTTTCACTTTCTAGAGATCAAGGGGGCCTAGACGCGATATCTGGGTATAACGAAAACGCTGTAGGGGCCTGTTTACTGGACAGCAAAGCTGCAAGACAGCCGGTACATTCCAACTCCAAGTGAGAACATAGCTGAAGGCCGGCCTCTGCTGCTGCAGGCACAGCTGCGGCACCCAGCAGCAGCGAAGGTGAAGACCAAGGAGGCGAGGATGAAGACCTCGATGGGGACCAGGTCAGCGAGCTCCTGCTCATCTCACCAAATTCCGACCATAAATGATAAAACAAATCCCATGACCTGATTCGGGTCGGCGTCTGCCCGTGGATAGCCTGAAGAGCCGGCGCCACCAGGGCCATGGCAACAAATGCACTGAACGTATCCAGGCTTCTCAGTTTGCTCAAGGTGCTTTTTGTTGCTTGACATTCTTTGGAGAGGCTGGGACTCGCCCCTCTCATCTAGGCAATCATGTGCACTCGCCTACGCTTACCACTTCTGAATCACACATGAGGCGACCCAGTGCTGCTTCGTCTGCTGCAGCAGCAAACATGCAGTAATCTCGAGAGGCAACAGCCTGATGACCTCTATTGCAGCCCTGCAACCTCACCAGAGCATAACCACCTTGCTTCCGCACTTCGTTTGCAACGGCCTTCTATCCAATATCCTATGTGATTGTATTGGGAAGACGCCAATGCAATTGTGCGCCCGCCTGAATTCTTGTGCAGTTGAACAGCTCATGCCAATGCCCTCATAGCAGGCCTCGTCAGGTTGTCGTGCTTGCCACAGGCTCTGGAGAGCCCACCGCTGGCACGCGGCCTCCAGGGCACAGCAAAAACCCGCCAACTGCACATAGGCATAGCAGTTCTGGCTACCTTCCTTGCAGCCAATGTGCGCCACGATTAGTTTGCATATGAATAACAAGCGTTTGACTTAGAGCCAAGCCTGTTCCAAGCCAAAAGGGTCAAAGTTTGAAAGGTCCACATTCTCTTTGTCTAGCACCTCGCCGGCTGAAAAAAACTGTTAGAACAGGCATGTGATGAATCAACTTCACCTCCGGTGACGGCGGAGGGGGCGTGGACGACCTCTGTTCAAGCAGGTCCCTTTTATGAAGATGAGGCACAGACCAAAGAAGCGAGCCTGCTGCTTGGGCTGACGAAGCTGGTGAGCTCCTGCAAGCTCTGCACAAGCATGGCATCTGTAGCTGTATATGCAAAGTCTTTCACCGTTTCCTGTGATGATGGCGGGGTTGTGATGTCACTTGTGAAAGACAGTCCAATATCGCGATGCGCCTGGCTCACTCTCACAAAGCATTGAGGGAGGGGCATCCAATTTGGCCTTTGGGACTGGCGAGAAGTCAAGGTCTCCATCTCCTAGCTCAGGGTGGACACAGGGTGGACATGTGTTTTGTCTTTGAGGGAGCCTGGACAGCCTGGAGGTGCTTCAAGCTCTGGCACACGTCCCGCTTCGCAGGCAAGCCTGGCTTCCCGCACGCATCGCCTATGGGCCTACGGCACCTACGCGACCGGATGTGACCAAGGACCAAGTCTCGGCGCTTTGGATCCTTCAACGAAGCTCCACAGCTCCTCCGGCTCTGCCGGCTGTCAGCCGGTGACACATTTTACATGCAGATCAGGGCAGTGCAGATTCCCGCTGCGTCGTTATCAAAGCTTCTTCGGCTGAGCATTCAAAAGGACTCCACGGAAGATCCGCCTTGCGCGTGAAGCGCATGCTGCATCTGGACGCAAGCCCCGTCCAGCTAAGAGGCAGGAGGAGCCTAAACTTGAAGGTTGTTCAACCATATGCCATCTGCAGCGGTGAAACACAGCAGCCGCCCGAACTGAGAAGAGATTGCGGGTTGGCCAGCCAACATCATCTTAACCTGTGTGTGACCTCTTCTGCCACTGAAATTATTCACGCAGCATCAAGGCCTGCAAGCCAAGAAGCCTACTACAGCTCTGAAGCTTTCAACCTTAGATGCTGACCTCTGCACATAAGCTGCCCAAACCATCCTAGAACTCGAAACTGCCTCGAAACTGCCTCTCAGGCCTTCTCCGCCTTCAGAGTGACCAGTGAGGCCGCTTCACGGCTCAGGAGCGCCTGGCCGGCCACGGGGGTAGCAACATGGAAGGACCCACGTAGCCATAGCAGCCATAGCACCAAGCAAAAGACTAAGGCAGAGGACAGCTTATGAGCTTCGGCGATTCAACACAGACAAACAAGAGACCCTGTGAAAACGCCGCTGAGGCCGCGGGGGCCTAAATCTGAGGGTCCAACTTCTTTGTGTCCCAGTTTGCTGGTGATTTTGCAGGTTTGGCCTGGGAGTCCAGCTTCCCTGCTGGTTCGTTGACAAGGTCCGCCAGGTCTTGGAGCTTGTCCCATCATGGCGATTGAGCGTTTTTGCCCGCACCCCCATGACGTCAAAACCATGAAAAAGCTTCTCACTCCTAGCTGCTGAGTTCTGCTTGCTCGCCCCTTCTTCCTTTCGATTCAGGGTGCCCTGGTTGCTCTTCATGCCTTCAGCCTCGGGTGTCTTCTGCTCCATGACTTCTGCTTCGCTCTGCTGTTGACGCACCCCTCGCCCACTAGGCGGCGCGCAAGTTGGCGCTGAAATTAAGCCACTTGTAGCATGGTTTTCCCAACCTGAGTCATCGGCATCTTTAGTCACGTAATAGATATAAGTAGATAAGGTTCAATAGTGTGGGTTTTCGTGTTGCAAAGGCAAAGCCCCATGCCTCAATACAAAAACCCTAAGTTCCATTCAGATATATTACGCATTTAAAGATATAGCATAGACACGCGCCGAGGGAGGGGTCGGGCCAAAAGGTTCTCAGGGCTGACCTCATGGTGAACAGTAACACGCTTGTGCTTGAGGCCCGCAAACTGCCTGAACGCGGACCAACCCTACGAACTTTTTCTGAGCCACGCCACAAGGATAAAATCCTGAAGGCCTGACCCTGGCAGGTGGCATCTTCAGCAACTGCGTTTTGAATTCACATCCTACCATATGCAGGATAAAATCCTGCAGCTGCAACCCTAAGTCTAGCCGACTAGGCTTTGAAACCTGAGCCTTGGATTTTGTCCTGGTCGCGTGCGACCCATTCAATATAAGAAAAAGGAAAAGCAAAGCTGCACTGCTTCAGTTAAAATGTAAAGATCGATGCTCGGCATGATCGTATGATTCCTATGACAGAAGGCTTGCGCCCTGGGCGCTTCTTCGCGCATACGGTATTGCAGCACAAGGTGGCCCTTGAAACTTTTCGATGCCCGAATCGTTAAAACCAACAAGCCCGTGGAAGGAAGCCATCATTAAACCCGAAAGCCCTCAATATGCTCAAGTCTCTAAAGCCTCTGAAGCGCGTTTTAAGACAAAACACCTTGCAAGGAATGCACCCTTGATGCCTAAACCTATCTTGCAGTTGCCTGTAAAACAAAGAGACTGAATTGGACAGCCAACGGTTCACTTCGCCTGCCCTTCAAACATAGATTTGTGCAACCTACCTCCGCCGAAATTCCAGCTTATGTCGTCCTTGAAACAACCGGCAGTGTAACGGTGGCCTCAAGGGTGTCGAGCTGCTCGCTCAGACTGTCCTTCGTTGGGCCCTGACCGGAACATCCAGGAACTATCTGCCCAAACCAACATGAAGGTCCTTCAGTCTGGTAAGCAGGTGGAGCTAGCCTTTTTTGTCTCTGAGAAGACTTCAAACACAAATGAGCGCATCACTCTCCTCTTCAACTCTGGTGGGCCTAAGTCTTGCAGGCAGCTCCTCAACCCTGCACAGGCCTTGGCAACAGTTCGGCGAGGCCTTACTGCCTCCGGCCGCCTCCTCACAAGTCGGTATGTAGCACCAGGAGCAGCAGAAACAAAAGTGGGAAGTGCATCACGAGCTGCGAGAAAGGTACTGACTGGCGATAAAGCACTTAGTTGACAAGACAAATGCGCCCAGGCCATGAAAACTTGAGTTGGCGCATCCTAAATGCCATTGCGGACCATAGCGTCTCTGAAGAGAATACTAGCCAGAAGTGCGGACATGTTCTCCATGCAAAGAGACAGAGATATGTTTGGCCACGAAGATTCCCTGCCAAGGCAGCAAAGGCCCTGGACACTCTCCAGCCCGTCCTGGCTGTGGGCTTTTCTTGGTACCGCCTCCGCGGAGCTTCCTCGACCAGTAGTGGCTTCAGGCAGTTCATGCTGCCAAGGCAGCACCGTAGAGACAGAAGAACACATCCCAGAAGGCAGTGGATACACCACTGGAATGCGCTCCGCAGCCATGCAAGCGACAGGTTATCCGGTGCAAACCCAGATCCATCATCTCTCTCTGCTGGCTCAGCGTGTGTTCTCGATGGCGAGGAGGGGGAGGGATGGGAGGGCTTGTCCTGCTCCGGAGCTGTCGAAGGCTCCTGAGCCTGGACGTCGCACAGCGCCTGCCTCCCAACTGCAGGTTTCTCAGCCTGATCTGGCACTGACGCTGTTAAGACAATCTGGTGCTTCTGCATGAAGCTTTCTGTCCTTTCCTTGACAGCTGCGGACTTAGAGCTAGCCAAAAGCATTAAGGCCCGCTTGCGCACGTCAAGCTCCTTGTCCGCTCGATCTGTACAGCCGCGCTCTGAGCCTCGTGGAGTCCGCGGACTGGTGCGAGAAGAGCCCGACCGAGGTGGGGACTCCTTGCCATTGGCTCTGGACGTGGCATCTGAAGCCCCCAGCTTACGCATGGGAACCTTTCCGATTGGGGCAGGTCTCGCTCCTTTGGGCAAGACGCCTTCCACCTTCAGATCCTTCCGCTTCCGCCTCTCCAGACCCTCCAGTGAACTCGGTAGCTTCACAGGGCCGGGAGGCCCGGAAGGTACGGAAGGCATGGAAGGCACGGGTGTTGAGCCTTGGCCCTGGCTGAGGCCAATTCGGTGCATGGCTCTGGCTCGAGTCTGCTCTCCAGGAAGCCTTCCAGATCCAGTCCGCCGGGACCGGGGCTCTGCATTCATTGCTCTCAGAGTTTCAAACACAAACCATCCCTCTAAATTGGGCCCAACGGCTGCATACATGGACTTGATCTCGTTCATAAGGCTTTTTCGGGTACTCCCCGAGCCTGGAACATCTATCATGCCAGAAAATCCCAGCTCGGCTTGCATGCGAGGTGCAGCGCAGGAGGACATCGATTAATACAAGTGAACTACGTTCATTCATGTTCGTTCTCATGATCTGCCTGCACAATGTGATTCCACTAGGTACTGCAAACGCGACGGCGCTGCGGGCGCTCAAGGCGTTGCCGCTGCCTCTCAAGCGAGGAACTTCACACCAAGTGATACTTGTAATAGCGCTTGGGACAATGCCGGCCTCTCAATTTTTTCTAGTAGCTCCAGGTCGATCGGCATTGCGGGAAGTCAACACATCCCCGTTTGCTCTGCTCAGCTCTGGGAAGGCTCCATGCAAAGAATCTTGCACCTGGACATGATTTTTTGCTGTCTAACATCTCGGTGCCGCGACACCATGAATCCAGGTTCGCCGTTGACTGCTTCATTGCCTTTTTTCTTGAACCTTGGAGTGCAGTCTTTCAGGCGCAGCCCTCTGCATTCACCTCTGCGAAGCCATTCACATGTGAGCCCATGTAATGCGCAAGGCTTTGCCTAGTATCTGTATGTATCTGCCTCATGTCGCAGGGAGGGTGGCTAGCAAAGAAGCAAATTGATATGGGACGAACAGCTGTTTGGGGCACGCGTCCAGTCTGCTGCATCTCCCAGCACACGTTTCTCCTCAGGTCTCACGGCTCCCAAGCACATGGAACCTGCCCGCTGGGCCTTCTGCAGGTCGACTCCAGGTGGGCCTTCAGGATCCTGCGCGGCAAGCCCGCCCCAACATACGGCTTCCTAGCGCAAAAGTCAGGTGACCTCCTCCAAATGCCCCTGGCCACTATCAGCGAGTCGAGGAATGGCCTGCATCAGTGCATCGCAAGCGTGTTCTCTACAGCCAACCTGCACTGCTGTGCAGAGCCCTTTGCCAACTCCTGTCCTGGCTCAGCTTGGCTAGTGCGGTTGCAAGCTCCATCGAACAAGCCGCCTTGTCAAGGAGCAACTCAAGATCAGCTGCTGCGCAAACAGCAAATGATTGCTGCATGCCTCTATGTGGACAGTTCAATCAGTAAAGCTGCACTCGAATTCTTTCTCTCTGATTTTCGCTGCAAACGAAGTGAACCTGCTCCTCTAGCGTCCCTGCTTCATAGGCGCGGCACAGTACCAAAGACTCCTAGGGCCTCCAACTGCGGCCTCTGCCTCCGGCGTGGGAATTTGTTGATATAGTCAGCAACAACTGACATTTACCAGTTCGGGTGCCCACCAGTTGTCAATCAATAGCCTGCGCAGCTCAGATCCCGAACATGTTTGTTTCGTCGATGCGCACAGGCATGATCTCTACTCCGCGCCCTGAAAGAATTCTATCGCTGCAAACAACGATAAGATTCGACCTGAGCCTGCTTAAAAAAAGAAGAGTTGCTCAACAAAACCTATCCAGCAAGCTGAAAACCAGAGATTGCCATGCCGTGCAATCCTCTGCTGTACTGATCCGTGGTGTACTGCCTCTTTACTCAGACAATCATTGGTTTCCAGCTTTGTCAATGAGAGTTGGCTCAGCCGGATCTCAGAAAGCTGCCTGGCACGGGCGTTCAACTAGGCGGTCAGGATATGGCCCTCAAGACTCTGAAATGCTTGACACTTCGAACTGATTATGAAATCACACGCCGGCCTGTCTCTAACCAAATAGCTTCAGGTCATACCTGCTTGTCATGTAAGCAGCCGCACTGTTGCAAGCCGACCGCAAGAAGTTGAGGGCACTTGAACTTCAGGGTGCCCATGGGGTCCATGGTCCTGTAGATCATCTCTACCTGGAAAGGCAAGCAGCCACATGTTCTGCATGTTTATGTGCTCGTGCCTCCTCGGAGGTGCGGTAGTTCACAGTGTACATCCATGCGAGGGGGACAGTTGTCAGCACCACGCAGGCCAAGTTCCTTGCTCCCAGAGAGCAGGCTGCATTAGCGGTTGTGGGCCGGATGCATTATGTTACTACGGAGATGGTGCCAACTACCTCCAATAATCCAAAGAGCCAGTTGTACCACTTGACTCGGTCCTGACACGAAAAGCTCTCTCAAGGAATCTCTGTGCACACCCCGGTTAAGCGACTTTAAGCCTCGGGCCTCTTCCATCATGTTCACCCGTCTTGCAAAACGGCTCTTCGAGAACTCTGGCAGGTCAATCTGACAGGGGCAAGCACTGAAGCAAACCATGGGCCCGCATTATGGCACTCCACCTTCATCATGCGCAAGCGCGACAGCTGCAGAGCACCGCGAAGCGCCATCCCTGCAAGAACAGAAATTTTTGATGATCCGGTGCATGCTGTCAGACACATGCTAGCAAACACCACGCCTTCTCTGGTCAGAGTGCCTTGTGCCTTCGTCAAAGCTGAGCCGAAACTGGAAGCTGCGGGGCACTTTCATGCCAGAGAAGCTGGTGTCGGCATCGGCTGGCTCAGTTCATGAGCTGAGGGCAACACTCAATTATCGTAGAGCGACTCCACGTGTTGAGGAGCAGTAGCTAATGGCTGGCGTAAGCAAGATCTTGCAGCTCCAGCTCCAAGGAACAAAATCACAACTGCATGTTGAATTGCGTTGTGCATGCACTCTGGTCTTGTTTCTGTGAGCCAAACGCAATACTTGGATGCCAGAATTGACGAAAGAATCAGCGCCTTCCTGGCCCACACTTCATTGCCCACAGCACAAAGCGGAAGTCAAATCGCACTGCTAGATTCGATTTTGCAGCGTTGCTTTGCAACCTATGTGGCTTGAATCTAGTCTAGTGACACGTGCGGTGCAGATCCGAGGTAGGGGACCTTGCACTATGTACAGCGTCGAGCAGAGCATCAGTTGACCCAGCTCTTGAATTAACGGTACTTGCGGCCAGTCATGCACAGCAAGTACAGGCGAGTTGACTTCGGTGTAGCTCGAAGCCACTGGAGAGTGCAATCTACTCTTTCTGGTTGGCCAACCACGCGCGCTGCTTTCGATAGAACTTCAAGGCAGGTGAGGACCAGACCTGCAGGTTGTGACCCATCGGTCCATCAAAACCCTTCAATACACACCAACCAAAAGTCGGACTTGAATTTCATCCAGCGAGAGTCGCCTACTTTCTATCTACTTGCTTGTTTTTGTGAGCACACATGCGACAAGCTGTGAAATGCTAAATTTGGGCGCCTTGGCATTTTGGCGGCGCCGTCGCCGAAGCCAGTCTCGGCCACCCGAAGACTGAGCCGCAGGGTCGTTCTGCTGGAACTTTGCTATCTGGGCCTTCCAGACAATACTTTGACGTTCTTTCTATGATGTGCCTTTCAAACACTTGCCTCTGTCTGAGCAACCAAACGATCCATCTCCTTCAAGGGGAAAACCAACAGCGCATGCAAAGATAGCATTTCATCATATTGTCATGTTCTGCCTTGAGGGAGGACGTGCGGACCACATCTCCGCCCTCCTGCAGGTTAGAAGCTCTGGGTTCAGCTTGGGGTGTGAAGGTTTCGAGTGTAGGGCGCAGGTTCACTTGAGACTTAGGGCTCTGAGCAGAGAGGCTGGGTATAAACAAAGAAGACGTTGCGAGGAGACAACCGGGCCAGCATGTCTTGCAGCGTTCAACTGTCTCAAGTCTGAAAAGGGCTCATCAGCTCCTCACGTAACCTTCGGGCTAAAGAGCCCTCACGAGGAGCAGGACACCAGCGTACTGCATCGTCACCTCAGTGTCCCAGAGATTTGGATGAAGAGTCACCGGGACTGAGAGACCACGCATGATCACGCGAACTGGGAATCAGACCCAGGTGCAGCACGAGATCTCCACCAGCTATCACTGACTCACCGCGGTTTGCCAACTGGGTTGCGACCTCGTTTTTGAACACCTCCGGTGTGCCCAAAGGGTTGCCATCCAATCCTGAATACTGCAAGAAGCAAGTCAGCTGGATGGAACCTGGCAACTATGCTCAGAATGAAGCATCGATACTTTCAGTGCTCTGCGCTGCTAGCCAAGGCACGGAGGATGTCGAGGTCGATGCGGCTTTCGCAGAGGGCGCCAACCAGGTTGAGTGCTGTGGGACCGTCAAGTTTGTTGCCTGGCCCCATGTTCTGCAAGACCTATACCTACCCACCAAAGTCGAACCTGCAAGGTCCAGGATCTGCAAGGCGCGCAGGTTCCTCACCGTGTGTAGGATGGCCTCTGAAGTGCAAATCCCTTCGGATGTAAAGGACTCCCACGATCTCGCATCAGTGCTTAACATGTGGAGCCTCCAGGTGCCCTGGGTTGAGATCGCAGCCCTCCAGGTCCAGAGTTTTCACCGTATCACCGGCCTCCATCAACAGAACTACACATATCACACGAGGGTTCCTGGAAGCTATGGGCCCCTTGTGGGGGTTGACATGCAACGAAGGCTCTGATGCTTTGCGCCATCTTGAGATACCCTCCGTTCTGGAACTTACTGTTGCTTAGAATGGAGTAAGGGAAAAGAAGCCCTATGATCCCTATATAATATATTCTCCCATGCCCTACACTCCCCCTCCCTCATCCCCTACTCACCCTCTGCTCTTGAAGCACCCTCCGAGCCATCGGCTAAGGTCAAGAGAGACAGCGCGTCCTGTGAGCCAAAGCAAGCCAGCTCTGGAAACCCAAATGCTGTCGTACTATTAATTTTAATAGTACTAAGCAGAATACGAATGATAATAACAGCCATGGTTTTAATAGTACTACTGAGTACTACCAGGACATTCAATGCTTCCACATGGGCATTCCAAAAAGAGAGCCTGACACCGTGGCGGTGTGCATTTTCCAGGTTTTTAATATTTTCGGTGTGGGTTTCTGCTGTGTTTTTGTGCTGCAGTTTGCCCTGGCTAAACATGTACATATACTAGTCAGGTTAGCACAAATTCCACCTGACGCAACTAAGGTGACATAATAAAACTTAGATAAATGCAGCTGAGCATATAGAGTGAGTCGTCCTCAATACGATTAGTACAATTCGTATAGTTTCTCATATCCGCATTGGCAGCGGCAGGTTTTTATAGGCATATCTATGTGTAAATAAATGCATCAAGACCGGCAGACTGTGTCAGAATATTTCATGGAAGTTTAGAGAATTCAGGCTTCCGGAAGCACTCAGACAAGAGGTTGTGTAGTACTTTTCCTGCGGCACATAGCATGTATGACATAAATCTTCATATACTGGCAGTTGCTTTCAAAGTCTTATTACGTAATCAGACCCAATAAATTTCAACAATCCTGCACGCAATCCCACAATTTTCTATGGGGCACATCCCCTTTATAGGCGTTTATGGCAAAAATATCCATATACTTGATGCTATTGTTGAAAACGCCTTGTATAACCAAGTCCAATACATGGCAAGCCACAATTTACTATTGGGTGCATCCATACCCAGCCCATTTTTTGGGAGGAAGGTCATGTTGCAAGCATATTGCTGTGGCAGTGTGATCTCGCAGCTTTCCAAAATCTAGTTGTAGTTGCAGTTATATCATAGTTATATCCACTATGTTGGGATAGTCCTCCTCTAGACTAGAAACAAATCATATGAAGTCAATTCAGGGGAGTGGAAAGGCATTCGCCAGGGTATTGCATCCTCCGAATCCAATGCGTCTAACCCTCGTTACATTTGCATTTTTTTATTGCCACAACTGGGCCACAACCACAAGGAATGTGGATATCATAACCTCTGACAAAGAGTTATACAGCTAGTCGATGTTGGGGGGTAGATCGTAACCACGTCACAGGTGAGAAATGCGCAACCATGACACGTGTTTTTTTACCACGACAAGCTTCTAAATGAGTCGCACGACAAGTAGCATGCTCTCATTTGCAAAAGCACGGAAAACGACGAACTCTAGTGGCTGAGCTCACACAGCGACGGTACGCAGGGGCATTTGAGTATTTCCTTTCGCCGAGCCCCAGCTCCTCATTTCGGAGGTTTCGCAGCCTACGGCTGCAGCGGACCCCGCTTAGCCGTACGGCATCTCATTTCGGAGCGCAGCCCGGAACCTCCAAAAAATTAGGAGCCGTAGGGCTGCAAAATACCCCTACGGCTCCTGTTCTTGGAGGCTTCGCAACCTATTGCTGCATAGCATCTCACTTCGGAGGTAACGAGGAGCCGTCAGGCTGCAGAGGACACCCCACGGCGCCTCATTTCAAAGGACGTCCAAAATGAGGAGCCGTAGCACCGCAGAGCGTTCCTTCCCAGATACGCCTGCAGCTCCTCATTTCGGAGGTTTCGCAACTGCAGAACCTCCGAAATGAAGAGCATAGGGCTCCAGAGGCCTCTTCCCAGGCCTTACGGCTCCTCATTTCGAACGTCAGGAGCCGGCTGCAGAGACCCCTCCCGCTGCCTAGTCCTACGGCTCCTCATTTCGGAGGCTTCACAGATCGAAACCTCCAAAATGAGGAGCGATAGGGCTGCGGAGGCAAAAACTGAGCAGCAGAGGCCTCTCCCTGAGCCCTACGCCTCTCACTTCAGAGGTTTCGCAGCCCGACTTCCAAAATGAGGATCCGTAGTAGAGCTGCAGAGACCCCTCCCGAGCCCTACGGCTGCTCGGAGGTTTCGCAGCCAGCGAGCCGTAGGGCTGACGGGGCTCCTTCCGACGGCTCCATTCCAGAAGTTTTGCAGCCAGGACTAAAAAAAAGCCGACACAGCTCCTCGCCGAGGGCTCCCCGGCCCTACGGCTCCTCATTTCGGAGGTTACACAGCCCGAAACCCATACAATGAGGAGCGGCTACCGATTTCAGAAGCTTCGCAGCCCGAAACCTCCAAAATGAGGAGCCGTAAAGCTGCAAGGGCTTCCCCCTTAGCCCTACGGCTCCTCATGTCGGAGGTTTTGCAGCCAAATGAGGTACAGTTCCTCATTTCG